TGAGGGCAGTGTCAGGACAGACTCAGGGCAGTGTCCGGACAGACTCGGGACAGTGTCCGGACAGACTCGGGACAGTGTCAGGACAGACTCAGGGCAGTATGCGAGCAGTGTCCAGGCAGTGTCCGGCCAGTGCCGGGCACGCTCGCAGCACACCCAGGGCAGTGTCGGGCAGGCTTTGGGCACACTCAGGGCAGTGTCCGTGCAGTGCCGGGCACACTCGCAGCACACTCAGGCCAGTGCCGGGCACACTCGCAGCACACTCAGGCCAGTGCCGTTCCCGGCCGGTGCCGGGGCGGTGCCGGGACGAGCTGAGGGCAGCCCCGCCTTGCCCGGCTCCAAGATGGCGGCGGCGGCCCCGGGGCGTGTCCCGCGGCCCCGGCCCCGCCCGGCTCTTCCGGCCGCGCCGCGGCCGCGCCGATGGCGGTGAATTACGCGGCCGGGCTGTCCCCGTACTCGGACAAGGGCAAGTGCGGCCTCCCCGAGGTGAGCGCGGCACCGCCGGGGGAACCTCCGCCCGCCCCGGGGAGCCTCGGCCCGCCCGGGCCTCCCGCGGGCCCTGCCGCGGCCCGGCGCGTTCCCATGGCAACCGCGGCCTGCGCCCCGCACCGGGGAGGGACCGAGCCCTTTGTGTGTCCCCAGCAGAGCCCGCGGCTCCCTCCTTGTCCCCCTTCCCCGGGTGTCTGCCCCCAGGCACCCCATGGCTCCCTCGTCACCCTCGTGTCCTCCCCAGCCCACCTCCAGCTCCCTCCTTGTGCCCCCTCCATGGCCCTTTCCATGACCCCAGCTCTCTCCTTCTCCCCCCTTGGCTCCGTCCGTGCCCCCCTGAGCCCCAGCAGTTCCTGGGAAGTTTAAAACGGGCTTTGGGGGGAGCGACAGGGACACTCAGGAACCTGGCCTGATCCAAGGGGATGCTGAGGGGACACACACGGTCCTGTCCTTGTCCCTGTCCTCAGGAGAATGGGCTGGAGAAGCATCTCAGGAATTAAATCTCGTGCCCAAACCAGCGGCTCGTGTCCCCACCTCCACGGTTCCCACGTCCCTCGCTGTCCCTCGGCCCTGCCCTGTCCCCAGAGCCGGTGGCAGTGCTGGTGACAGCTGGAGCTGAGCACACGTGGGGTGGCCCCGGGTCGCTCCTGGAGCCCAGCCTGGGCCAGCTGCCTGTCAGAGCAACAAATTCCCTGTTGGTGTTGGTTGTTCCCAGCCCTGTCCCTGCGTGGAGACGCTCCAGACAATGCAGAGTCTCTCCCATTAAATGTTTTGGTCATTAAAGAATGCAAAATCCTTCATGAAAAAGGAAGAATTGTGGCCTACTGGGGCTCTAGAATCATGAAATCCCAGAATGGTTTGGGTTGAAGGGACCTGAGGGATCATCCAGTCTCACCCTGCCATGGCAGGGACACCTTCCACTGTTCCAGGCTGCTCCAAGCTCTGTCCAGCCTGGCCTTGGGCATTCCAGGGATCCAGGGGCAGCCACAGCTGCTCTGGGAATTCCAGGGCCTCCCCACCCTCACAGGGAAGGATTAATTCCCTATATAATCCATGCCCACATCTCTCCATGCCACACTGGTTTTTGTCTTTTCCCAGATTTTCGACCCTCCGGAGGAGCTGGAGCGGAAGGTGCAGGAGCTGGCAGACCTGATCCGGAGCTCCTCCAATGTGGTGTTTCACACGGGAGCAGGGATCAGCACGGCCTCGGGGATCCCTGACTTCAGGTGAGTCGCAGGGCTGGCAGGGTGGCACCTCCATCGTGTCCATCTTTGTGGAAAGCTCTGATTTAACCCAGACCTGCCCCATCCCTGCTGTCCATCCCGGATCCTCAGCTGTTCCCACAGAATCCCCACGTGTGCTGTGTTTGCCCCAGAACCCTGCTGATCCGTGAGCCCTGCTCCCATGGATGGGGCACCTGGAGCCTGAGCTCTCCCTTCCTGCTCTTTCCAGAGGTCCCAATGGTGTCTGGACTATGGAAGAGAAAGGGCTCTCCCCAAAATTCGACACCACCTTCGAGAACGCCAGGCCCTCCAAGACTCACATGGCGCTGCTGGGGCTGCAGAGAGTGGGAATCCTGAAATTCCTGGTCAGCCAGAACGTGGACGGCCTGCACGTGCGGTCAGGATTCCCACGGTACTTTCCCAGCCCCACACAGAGGGTTTGATTCCCAAGGAATCTCTGCCCTGTCTGATACGGGGAGTAGAAGCTGGGAGGGGATAAACCAGCTGGAATTTTAGAGGGAGGTTCTCTTTCTGATCCAGAGGGTCATGGAATGAAATCAGCCTTGGCTGTTGCTCTCTGGAAATTCTTCCAGGTGCTGTTTGTGCAAAAACGGATTATGGAATCATGGAATCCCAGAATGGTTTGGGTTGGGAGGGACCTTAAAGCCCATCTCGTTCCCCCTGCCGAGGACAGGCTTGAAAGATGCCCAGTGTGACACTGCTACCTCTGGTGTTTTATGCTGAGGGAAAGGAGGCCCTGGCATAGGTTTCCCAGAGAAAAATGGGATGGCCCATCCCTGGAAACAAGGATGGAGACAGGGACAGGCCTTGGACGACACTCTCAGGCACAAGGTGGGATTGTTGTGGTGTCCTGTGCAGGGCCAGGGGTGGAATGGGGCTTGGAGCAGCCTGGGACATGGGAGGTGTCCCTGCCCATGGCAGGGGCCTGATCTTTTAAGGCCTTTTCCAACCCCATCCATTCTGTGATTCCATGAGTCAGGATGTGGCTGAGGAGCACCAGGAGAAGGTGCCTGTCACAAACACCTTCAGCCAGAGCTGCCTCCAGGCATTTCCTGACATTACAAACCCCAGGTCCTGGGTCCTGCTCCCAGTCCCGTGTTTGTCTGTATAAGCTAAACAACCATGGGAAGAGCAGTAGGGAATGATGACAGAATTCCATGGTGCTTCCACAGCCCGGAGCCACTGGCTCCTGTTCCAGCTCAGCCCAGCTCTGCATCCCAAACGAAGCCTGTGCTTGAGCAAGCTGAACTGGGGCCAAACTGGGGGAAATCAAGTCAGTCCTGTCTCACACAGCCTGGAGGAAGTTCCCAGTCGGCGTGGGGCTCTGAGGAAAATAGGGAGAGCATGGCTGTGTTTTCCTCTGGCTTTTGCTCTGAGCCTGAGGGGAATTTTAGGAAAAACAGGTGTCAGAGGGCTGGAACAGCACAGGGACAGACAGGAATGTTGGGTGCTGGAAAAGCAAAGATCTGGATGCTCCCAGGAGAAGAGATTTGAGTGGATCAGGAGCTGCAATCAGTGCTGCAGATGGAAACACTGAAATTAAAAAAAGGCCAGGACCTGCTGTCCCTCCCTCAGTAGCTGTTGGGGGATGAACCCATCCCTTGGCAGAGCTGGAATGCAGGGAAGCCCTTGAGGTTCCTGGGGAGGAGGTAGGGTTCTCCCAGGGCTCCCCACCCTTCCCAGCTCACCTGTGCCTTTCTCCCACAGGGACAAGTTGGCCGAGCTCCACGGGAACATGTTTGTGGAAGAGTGCGTGAAATGCGGGAAGTACGTGAGGCCTGGGGAGGGGCTGGGCTGGGATTTCCATCCCAGGCTGTGGTGGGGGGCACTCCAGCCTCTCCCTGAGCCCAGCCCTGAGCAGCTCCGTGTCTCTGCAGGCAGTACGTGCGCGATGCCGTCGTGGGCAGCATGGGGCTCAAGCCCACGGGCCGCCTCTGCAGCGTCACCAAGGCCCGGGGGCTGCGGGCCTGCAGGTAGGGATCCCTCCTGGTATGTGGGACAGGGGGATGAGCCAGCAGCCCCTCGGATTTGGGAGAAGCAGCCCAGGCTGCAGGAAGATCTGTCTGGGTGCTCTCGGTCCCTTCACAGTGTGGGGACAAGAAGGGTGGGACAGGCTCTGGTCGTTGTCCCCTCTGCCGAGGCAGCTCCTGCCTTTTCCAGGGAAAACCATGGTCCCTGTGTGTGTTTTCCAGAGGGAAGTTACGAGACACTATTCTGGATTGGGAAGATTCCCTGCCCGACCGTGACCTGACACTGGCAGATGAAGCCTGCAGGTACTGACACCCTTCTGACACAGGAGGGGAACGGTCCCTTCCCACCCATCCATGCCCTGATTCTGGATTTCTCCTCCTCCCTGCAGGAAAGCCGATCTCTCCGTCACCCTGGGGACCTCTCTGCAGATCAAACCCAGCGGGAACCTCCCGCTGATCACCAAGAAGAGAGGAGGGAAGTTGGTCATTGTCAACCTCCAAGCAACCAAACACGTGAGTGAGCGTCCTGCAGCTCCACACTGCTCCTTTCCCCTCCTGTCCCCTGTTCCAGGCCCATCCCGAGTTTGTCCCTGCACGTTGTCCCCTCCCAGGTGGCCTCTCTTAGCAGGCAAACAGGCTGGGAGTCCTGGGTTGGAGGGTTTAAACCTGCAACTCCTGCTGAACACGCAGAGATTGCAGGTAAATATTAGAATAGTGGCAAGGGCTGGGTTGGAAGGGACCTTAAAGCTCATCCCGTTCCCTCTCCCATGGGCAGGGACACCTTCCATTATTCCAGGCTGCTCCAAGCCCTGTCCAACCTTATCCAAGCAAGTCTTAGGAGCAGAGTAAAAGCTCAGCCTGGAGCCTGCTGTGTCCTCTCAGGGTTTACAGCCCGACGGAATGACCACACACAGGGAGTCTGTGTAGGGCATGCTCGGTTCCTGCTCAGTTCTTGCTCAGATGTTGGTGCCCAAGTGTCCAAAGTCTTTAATACCCAGAGCTGGGGGTCCCTGGGGTGTCACCAGAGCTCCCTCGTGCGTGTCACGCTCTGTCCCTGGCTCTGTGCCTGTGTCCCTGTCCCCAGGCTCCAGCCCACGCCCCGGCAGAGCCCCGGGGTCACCTCGTGTCCCACTGGCAGTGGCCCACCGGGGACATCTCGCTGTCCCTGGGAGGGGCCGTCTGTCCCCTGAGCCGTGTCCCCGCTGTCCAGGACCGCCAGGCCGACCTGCGCATCCACGGCTACGTGGATGAGGTGATGACCAAGCTGATGAAGCACCTGGGGCTGGAGGTGCCCGAGTGGACGGGGCCGGTGGTGGTGGAGAGCGCCGAGCTGGCCAAGGCCGAGCAGCTGCAGGGGCGGCTGAAGGAGGAGCCGCTGTCCCAGCACAATGGCACGGGAGCGCCGTGTCCCGGGAACGCGCCGCTGGAGCGCCGCGACGGGCTCAAGCTGGAGTGTCCCAGCCCGGACACGGGGCCGACGCCGGTGAAGAAGATGAAGGTGGAGCCTCTCCTCACCTGACCTGGACTGTCCCTGTCTCACCTGGGCTGCTTTTCCTACCAACTTTTTTTTATACCCTTAAATATTGTCCCTTTTTTTATGTCAGTATTAAACGCACTTGAATTGTGGCTCACGGAGCAGCTGCACCCATGGGCCTGGAGAGGGCCTTGCACAGGGAAATTGCTCCCTGTGAGGGTGGTGAGGCCCTGGAATGGAATTCCCAGAGCAGCAGTGGCTGCCTCTGGATCCCTGGAATGTCCAAGGCCAGGCTGGACAGGGCTTGGAGCAGCCTGGGACAGTGGAAGTTGACTCTAATTCCACGTCACTTGGTCATGGAAGGGCACTGGATCCCAGCTGGACTCAGGGATGGGAGCTGTGGGAGGCTGCCCTGACTCCCCACAAGCTCCAGGTTGGGCATGGCCGTGTGTCCCCGCTCTCTTGGGCCCCTCCTGGCAGCTTGAGGTCCCCCTGCCCCAGGGCTCCTTGAAACCTCGTGGATCACCCCCTCTTAAACTACAGCCAGTGGATTTTTTCCAAAATATCTTATATTTAGAGATGAAAATAAAATTACAAAAACAAAGACCAAAACAAAACCAAGAACAAAACCAACCAGTTGTACCATCAGCAGCCAACCAGACCAGGGCCCCTTCTGCTTCTTCAGCTCCATCCTGATGACCCCATGTCCCTTCCACAACTCCCACTGTGCCGGGGGGCAGGAGCAGCCCCTTCCCTCCCAGTAAGGCCAGTGGGAACAGGTCTCTTCTTCCCAGTTCACAGAATCCAAGCAAAGCCAAGCAGGGCCAGCATCCGGAGGCAGATCCTGGAGGGCTCCCCCGAGGGCTTGTCCTGTAGGGGATGAGGTGCTGGCACCCCACAGCACCCCCGTGCTCCCTGCTCTGCCTAAAGCTCCTCCGCCGGCTCCAGCACCGCGGGCCGGCCGTGCCTGGGCTTGGACCACGCCAGGGATGGCAGCCCCGGCTGTGGCACGGTGCCATCCCCTGCCACAGCTTCCCCGTGGTCGCCGTCCTCACGGCTCAGCCCCTCGGGGGCCGATGCCCGCGTGTCATTCCGGAGGGAGCCTTTGTCCGGCGGTGTCGGGAATGTGCCCTGGAACGCCTCGGGCAGGGTCTCGGGCGTCTCCTCCGACCACAGCGGCTCCGGGAGCTTCTCATCCCCGGCCTGGGGCTGGGTGTGAACCACGCGGGAGGCGGCGGCGTTGTGCAGGGACCTGGAGAAAACTGAGTCCCCAGAGGGTCAGGGCCTGGTCCCTGAGGGTCTGTCCAGCCCTGGCTCAGCTCAGAACAGCCCAGCACAGCCCTGGCACAGCCCAGCCCAGCCCAGCCCAGCCCAGCCCTCACCTCGCACAGGTCTGAAGTCGCCGTTTGCCTCAGTCTTGCTGGGGGCGAAGGGGCTGATGGAGGGGAAGACAATGAGGGTGAAGGAGAGCAGCAGGACCTGGGGACAGAGGGGACATCACTGAGCACAGCACGGGAGAGAGACTCCATCCATCCATCATCCATCCATCCATCCATCCATCCATCCATCCATCATCCATCCATCCATCCATCCATCTATCCATCCATCCATCCATCCATCCATCCATCATCCATCCATCTATCCATCCATCTATCCATCATCCATCCATCCATCCATCCATCCATCCATCATCCATCCATCATCCATCCATCCATCCATCCATCTATCCATCCATCCATCATCCATCCATCTATCCATCCATCCATCCATCCATCCCTCCCAGCCCATCTCCAGGGCTCCCAGGTGTGGAGGCCCCACTCACCGCCAGGCAGGTTCCTGTCTGTGCTGCCTTGTTGCTCGACTGAACCACCATGGCCTGGAGCTTCTTCAGCTGCTCCAGGAGGGATCTGGGAGCAGGGAGAGCCCATGAGCCCCCATCCCAACACTTCCCAGTTCACCTTGTCCCCATCCCACCCTGGGAACACCTACGAGTTCTGCTTCTCCAGGTGCAGGACTTTCCTCTGCAGCTCCTGGTTCTGGGCCGTGCACGCCGACATCCTGGGGCAGGGAGAGCGGGATGGGAGGGCTGGCAAGGAGCAGTGGCCAGGGTGCCACCCCGGGGGTCGGTGTGTCACCGTGCCCAGGGGAGGGGCTGGGCTCTGTACCTGCTCTCCAGCCCATCAATGTATTCCTTCTTCTTCTTGCGGCTCTCCTGAGCCGACTGCTTGTTCCGGATCTTCCTCCGGATCTTCTTCAGCACCCGCTCCTCGTACTGGGGGAGACACGGCGGGGTCAGGGCCAGCAGGCCTGGGACCCTCACTCCACACCCTTCCCAGGTGTCCTGCACCCACCTTGGTGAGGGGCAGCTGCTTGGGCAGGGTCACCCCCTCCTTCACCAGCAGCTTCTTCTCATCCTCCGTCAGCACCAGCTCCTGGAAGGGGCCCTGGCTCGGCTGGAGCAGGGAGCCAGGAGCCTGTGGCTGCTGTGGGAACATGGAGTGGTGACACCTCTGGGTCCCTGGGACCATGGTGAAGGTGCCTTGGGCCAGGAAGGGACAGGGGTCATAGACAAGGACCAGGAAGGGAAAGGGAACAAGTGTGGGGATGGGGAGGGATAGGATTGGGAATGGGGATGATGAGGGTCCAGGAAGGGACAAGGCTGGGGACAGGGAGCATTGGGGACACAGGGACAGGGACTCACATTGTCAGAGCTGCCCGAGAGCAGCAGGTCCTTGACGGTGAGGGCACAGGATGCAGGAGGGGGGACCACGGGCACGTCCTGGCTCTCCTCCAGGAAGAACCCAGGGTGCCACATGTCTGGGTGAGGGCAGAGCGGGGCTGTCAGCAGTGCTGTGTCCCCAATGTCCCCAGTGTCCCCACTTCAGGACCCTCCCCCTGTCATGGCCCCAGAACCAGGGTGACTTGCTGCCCCTGACTCTGTCCCCCCGAACCCCCAAACTGTCCCTTTGGTCCTGCCCTAGCCCCCCAACACCAGTCTGCCCAGCTCACCCCAGTTCCCAAGCTCTCCACACTCTCCCTATCTCCTCCCCAGCCCACCAGACCTCCCAGTTCTTTCCAGTTTCCCCCAGCTCCCTTAATTTCCTCACAACCCCCCACCTCCTCCACCGCTCTCAGCTCCCCAGTGTCCCCAGCCTGGTCCCTTGCCAGTGTGGCTCACCCAGGTCGATGGAGACCTCGGGGTGCAGGACCCCAGAGCCCGCCGGGGGGGGCTGGGCCTGGCAGGGGTCGGTGTAGGGGTACAGGACCTCTCGGGGACCCCTGTCACAGCCCCGGGGGGGACTGTCGTGCTGGTCAGAGGGGGGGTCCTCGGACACCCCGCTGTCACTGGTGGCCGGGGACCAGCTGGGCGAGTCTGACACCGAGTCCCCGGAGCCCAGGATGGAGCTCAGGAGGTCCTTGCTGTCTGGAGCACACTGTGGGGACACGGCACCGTCACCGGGAGCAGCCATTCCCTGGTGTGTGGCATCCCCGGGCTGGGACCCAGCAGGGCCGGGCCGGGCCGGGCTCGGGGCTCACCCTGTCCTGGGGCCAGGCTCCCGGCGGTGTCCCCAGCTCCACCCCACGCAGGATCCAGTCCTGGCAGTCGAAGAGGAGATCCAGCAGGTCCAGGTTCTCGAGGCTGCCCACACTGGAGGCCATGGCTGCGGGGTGACAGGGTCATTGTCCAGCCCAGGCCCCGCCGTTCCCCCCATAGCCACCCCCTGGAAAAGCCCTACAGGTGTGGGACAGGATGCGGGGGCTCCAGGTGTGGCAGTGTCCCCTCTCTTTCCAGCAGCTGAAATTCCCAAATCCTCCAGTTTTCCACCCAGAGCAGCCCAGCCAGGGGTTCCCTCCTGGAGGTGACTGTGCTGGAAGAGCTGGTTAATCATTTTGGGTGGCAAGTGGAGGGGAAAGGACTGCGGCCACTGGCCACCCCAGGGAAGGGACTCAGTCCCTCACTGCTACCCTGGGCACTGATTGAGACTCCGGACTCAGAGACAGCCACTGGGCCAGCTGACCAGTAGCCCAAGTGGCCAATCAGCCAACTGGCATCCCAGCTGACCCACTGACCAACTGTCAGTCAATGAACTGATCAGGAGACACACCAAATGGTCAGCCTGCTGGCCAAGTGACCAATGGATGGACTGACCCAACAACCAGCCCACTGACCAACAGACTGAGCAGTCATCTCTGACTGACTGACCAACCAACCCACCACCCAACCAACCCACTCAAATGTCCTCCCAGCCAGCTGGGGACAGCTGTCATTACTTGACATTTGGCCAAGGTGGACACGGGGCTTTATTGCACCCTGTCCTTCACCCTCAGTCCTCTCAGTGAATCCTGATGTCCCCATGGGATCTCGCTGAGCGGTGGCAGTCAGGACATACCTGAGTGAGATGCCGTGGATTGTCCTCTCAACCCTCTCTGAGCACACACAGGAGTGCAGGGGACAAGCCTGGCCTTCACCCTCCTCCTCCTCCTCTTCCTCCTCCTGACTCAAGTGGCAAAGTTTAAACTCCAACTGCACAGAAATAATATCCCAGATTGCAAAATGTCCCAGCCCTGATTGGGGCTGTCAGGGTGTGATGGCAGGGCCACCCCGGGGCTGGACCCATAACTCATTAGCCAAATGTTTTTGTGCTCCTCTGCCAAGCGGGGCAGGAGGGGCCGGGGCTGCCGGGCGAAGTCCAGGTGCTATAATTGTCCATGAACCTTCACCCACTTTTGGGGACAGTTTCCCTTTTTTCAGACATCTTGGCATTAATCACATTCGATGTGCACTGAGGGCGATATCCGGGGACGTTGGCTTGGACTCTACCACTGATGGCTTATCCAAAAAAGCCTTGGTGGCCCGTGGCTCTCCCTGGAGAGAGACCATTGAGGGATGCAAGGACAGGACACAGGGAATGGCTTCCCACTGCCAGAGGGCAGGGATGGATGGAGGGAAGGAATTGTTCCCTGTGAGGGAGGTGAGGCCCTGGCACAGGGTGCCCAGAGCAGCTGCGGCCGCCCCTGGATCCCTGGCAGTGCCCAAGGCCGGGCTGGACGGGGTTCAGAGCGCCCTGGCACAGTGGAAGCTGTCCCTGCCATGGAATGGGATGTGTTTAAAATCCATCCCAACCCACACCGTCCTGGGGTTATTCACGAGTCCCTCACGGCTGTCTCGGGCCGCACACGGGGTGTGGCTGTGCCAAAGCCTCATCCCCTGCAGTGAGGGGCGGCAGCACAACACCAGCACCCCCCAGCGAATCCCACCCCAGCAGGTGCCGGGACTCCCGGATCCTCGGGATCCCGGGCACAGGGAGGGGACACCGCTGACTAAGGCTCCGTGTGCCCCAGGCGTGGCGCGGGGACAAGGCCACGGCCCCTTATCGGCCGCCCCACGGCCTCTGCCCGAGCAGACGGCGGCTGCTCCCTGCTTTATGGCCCCGCCGGGACCGGGCAAAGGGCGCCCTCCCGGTGCCGCCACCCGGGGCCGCTCGGGGCCCCTCATGATGAGCCTCGGGGGTCTCGGGCATGGGATCAGGCACGGAACAGATGAGCAGATGAACAGAGCAGACTGCGGCTGGAGGACTGCTGCCCGTTTGTGCGTCACTAATTAGTGATAATTTAATTAACGCTCCATCCACACAGCCCCTGCCCCTCGGGGGGCACCTCCGCCACAGGCCCACCGCCTTCTCCCCCTCAGTGAGATCTCGCGAGACTCCGCCCCGCCACTCGGTCTTCCCGGGCCCCGCCCCTTGTGCCTGTATGAGGCCCCGCCCCCGGGCGTTCTGCTCCCGCCCCACGGAGCCTCCGGTCCCGCCCCACGGAGCCTCCGGTCCCGCCCCACGGAGCTCCCGGTCCCGCCCCACGGAGCTCCCGGTCCCGCCCCACGGAGCTCCCGGTCCCGCCTCCATAGTCCTGACCGTGGCCCCGCCCTTGGACCCCGCCCCGGTTCCGGCCCCCTCCCCGGTACCGGCCCCGGCCCCGCCCCCAGGCCCGGCCCCGCCCCCGATTGGCCCGCGCTGGCCCCGCCCCGGCCCCGCCCCCGCGCGCCCCCGCGCCCGGCCGCGCCCCCCCGGCCCCGCAGGCGCGGCCCGGCCCGGCCATGCCGGCCAAGAGGAAGCCGGTGCTGCCCGCCCTCAACATCGCCCCCAGCGCCGCCGAGGGGCCCAGCCCCGACGGCTCCGCAGAGTGAGTCAGGCCCGGCCGGGACCGCCCCGGCAGCGGGGCTGGGCCTGGGGGGGACGCGGGGCCCGGGGGGGACACCGGGCCTCGGGGGGACACCGGGCCTGGGCAGACCGGGGAGGCCGGGACAGAGCGGGCACCGGGCCTGGGGGAGTCGGGGCACGGCGGGCACGGGGCGTGGGAAGGGCCAGGGAAGGCCTGGAGGAGCCGGGACAGGTTTGGGGAGGCCTGGGAAGAGCTGAGGGGGGGACCTGGGGGAATCGGGACAGCTCCGGGGGTCTGGACAGGCCTGGGGGGCTGGATGGGCCCGGTCCGGGTGTGTGGGGCAGGAAAGGGGTCAGGGAGGCAGAGGCGGGCAGGAGGGTGAGGTTGGGATGGGGATGGGATGGGCAGGGGGAGGCTGCTCTGACCCCCCGGTTTGCAGGGGTAGCTGAGGCCGGGGGGCGCAGGGAGGGAGGGAAACGGGCCTGGAGAGCCGGGCTGGAGCTGGGATGGGGACCGGGGGTCTGGGGGGGCCCTGGGGCAGCAGAGGGGGCTCGGCAGGTGGGATGTGTGGGGTGGGAGGTGCTGGTGGAGGGGGATACGTGGCGGTGCCGGGTGGAAGGGATGGGGTGAGACTCTCCCCACACCTCCCCCTGGGTGTGGGTGAGGGGGGACAAGGGGGTGGCAGCAACTGGGACGGAGCAGCTGGGGCTGGCACAGGCGGTGGGGGCTCGGCAGCAGGTGCTGGGGGAGCACAGACCCCCTTTGTGCTCAGGATTTGGGGTGGGGGATGTAACGGAGCTGCTGGACCCCATGGAAAGCCCTTCTCATGTTACACAGCCGAAGCCAAGCTCGGCTCCCCGGGACAGGGAGCGGCGTCTGGTGCTGCCTCTTTAAGGGCCATAGGATTTTTCCTGTTCCTTGGCTCTCCCAAAACACCTGACTGCTCCAGAGCTCCTCTCCAGAGGGGCTGTGTGTGCTGGGCAGGGACTTCTCCCAGCCTTCCTGTCCAGCTGATCCCGTGGTCAGGGCCTCGGGACATGGCAGGGGATGCTTTTCCATCATTTCCCTCCACTTTCCTGAAAACAAACCCCTCCTTTCCCTGGTGCTGAGCATCTCCCACCTCCTCCTCCCCTGTCCAGGGCTAACCTGGTGGACCTGCAGAAGAAGCTGGAGGAGCTGGAGCTGGATGAGCAGCAGAAGAAGCGCCTGGAAGCTTTCCTGACTCAGAAAGCCAAAGTGGGGGAGCTGAAGGACGATGACTTTGAGAGGATCTCGGAGCTGGGCGCTGGCAATGGCGGGGTGGTCACCAAAGTGCAGCACAAACCCTCAGGGCTCATTATGGCACGGAAGGTAACGAGGGACTGGGAATGCTGGGGAGCATCTGGGGCTCTCCCTGGCTCTGGGAGGGCTGGATTTGGTTGGATTCTCTGCATTTGCACCTTCACCACCTCACCTGGGTCAGGAGCAGAGTCCTGGCTGCTCCCAGATGGGTTCTACATGGAGCTGGCTCCTTTGGGAGAGGCTGCACTCCCAGTGACAGATCCCTGGGCTCTGGAATACAGGAGTTCATTTTTTTCCCAGTTCTGATGGATGACAGGACTGGAATTGGATCTCCAGAGGATTGCAGGTTGTGGGTGAGGAGGGCTGGAAGTGGCAGTGGGAAGGATGGGTTTGGCACACACATCCCTCAGTCCCATTTAACACAGCCCAAGGTCATTCCAAGCAGGGACAGAGGTTCCTCTCAGGCTTGGCTTCATTGGGAACATCTACTGTGGTGCCATGGAGTAGAAAATCAGGAGCTGCTTCATCTGCCTGCTGGGAGAGGCTGTGCTTGGCAGGAGCAGCACAACCACTGCTCTGCCTCCTCCAGAGTCTCTCTTCCCTCCTGCTCTTGGGATCCATGGAATTGTGGAATGGTTTGGCTTGGAAGGGGCCTTACAGCTCATGCAGTTCCATGGCAGGGCCAGCTTTCACCAGCGCAGGGTGTTCCCCTCCCCACTCTGCTCTGACCCCACGTGGAGCCCCAGAAGCCGCTGCTCGTTCTTGTGCAGAGCCCTCACAGGGGCTTTTCCTCTTCTGTGGTTTCCTTGATCTCGGAGCACCTTCTTACACCACCTCCAGAGCTTGTGAAAATGTTCCTGGCTGCTGACTCAGAGGGGCTGAGATCAAACTTCTGACTCGTCTTTCCACCCGTGTCCGGTGCAATCCCGGCGCCTTCCGTGGCTGAGGCAGCACAGAGCTCTGCCCTCAGCATGGAATGGATGGGGTTGGAGAGGCCTCAAATCCCACCCAGTGCCACCCCAGCCATGGCAGGGACACCTTCCACCATCCCAGGCTGCTCCAAACCCTGTCCAGCCTGGCCTGGGACACTTCCAGGGATCCAGGGGCAGCCACAGCTGCTCTGAGCACCCTGTGCCAGGGTCTCTCATCCCCTCCCAGGGTTTATTCCCAATATCCCAGCTCACCCTGCCCTTTGCCAGTGGGAAGCCATTCCCTGTGTCCTGGCACTTTATATTAGTGTGCCAATGGCAAAGATTCTGCTGCAAGGCTGTGCCTCTCTTGAGGATCTCGTTTTTCCCAAAGATCCCCAGACGATGTTCCTTCCCCCTCAGCTCTCTCTCGCTGCAGGACTCACACCTTGCCCGTGTTCTCTCTTGGCAGCTGATCCATCTGGAAATCAAACCAGCCATCAGGAACCAGATCATCCGGGAGCTGCAGGTGCTGCACGAGTGCAACTCCCCCTACATCGTGGGCTTTTACGGAGCCTTCTACAGCGACGGGGAGATCTCCATCTGCATGGAGCACATGGTGAGGGCCCTCCCTGCAGCCTCCCAAGTCCCCTCTCCCTGCCAGCTCCCTGCTCTGGCCGCTCTGCTCCTGGTGGGAGCCACACATTCCCGCTCAGGCCTCGGAATGAGGGAGACAGCGACTTTTGGGAAGCGGAAGCAGAGGTTTGGGGCTTGGCCAAACGGAAATGTTGCCAAGCCACTGCTCTGCAGAGCCTGCTGTGAGGCTCAGTGAACATATTCTGTTGTTTCTGGTGGAGAACGATGTTATTTCTCCTCCAAATCATCGTGGCATTTTCACTGATGGGAGGAAACAACAGCAAGAAGCAGAGCTGTTAAAAAACCAGTTTTCAGTGATAAACTTGAGCTCAGATCACCAGATCTCCCTTTTTCTTTTGGCTGGAAAAGGAGTGTGCCCAACGCTGTTCACCCACCTGCTCCCCTGTACATCCAGCTGCTTTGGTTTCCTGCTGGGAATTGCTGTGTTGGTCATTCCCATTTATTTCAGGATGGAGGCTCTTTGGATCAAGTGTTGAAAGAAGCCAAAAGAATTCCTGAGGAAATCCTGGGCAAAGTCAGTATAGCGGTGAGTGATGGGGCTGCTCAGGCTTCCAGCGGGGGTTTGGGATTGGGAATAAAGCCTGGGCTGCCCTGGGAAGCTTTTTGTGTTTCCCAGTCCTGCACTTTCCTGGGCCGAGAGGCCAGAGCAGAGGGGAAATATTCCCAACCCTTTTCCCCACCTCCAGCCCCTCTGGATAATGTTGGCTTCACCTCCAGGAGGTTTGGGAGAAGCTTTATTGGGTGGTTCACCCAAAATCTGTGATGGAATTTGGGACAAATTGCAAATCCCTGAGGGATGTGGACACCACAGGGCAGCTCTCCTTGAGCTGAGGGCAAAGCTCTTCGCTCAGCTCTGCTCTCAGCCAGCCTTTGGATTCCTCCCAGGTTCTGCGGGGCCTGGCCTACCTGCGGGAGAAGCACCAAATCATGCACAGAGGTGAGAGCAGGGCCCTGGAAACCCCAGCCTGGGGTGCCAGGTGTCACCCAGAGCCACCTTCACACTCCCCTCTCTCTCCCTTCCCAGATGTGAAACCCTCCAACATCCTGGTGAATTCCCGAGGGGAGATTAAGCTCTGTGATTTCGGGGTCAGCGGGCAGCTCATTGACTCCATGGCCAACTCCTTTGTGGGAACTCGGTCCTACATGTCTGTAAGTTCCTTCCAGGCGGGGTTTTTGGGTGATTTGGGTTTGTCCCACTGTCCCAGGCTGCTCCAAGCCCTGGTGTCCAACCTGGCCTTGGACACTCCAGGGGCAGCTTCTCTGGGAACCTGTGCCAGGGCTTTCCCCACCCTCCCAGGGAGGGATCCTGAGGTCTGAGCTGCTCCTGTATTTTGGGAATGGTTATTCCAGTGCAGTTATAGTTAGACAGGGGCTATTTAAAAGTCCTGTCCCCTCTGCTCCCAGGCCCTGGCTCCAAGCTCCCTCAGAGCTGCCAGTGGGGATGACTTGCATGGATTGATTTATTTCTAATTTTTTCTTTTAATGGCCATAACCTCGAGTGGATTTTCTGCTCCTCTGATTCCTCTTGGGTGTTAACAGGAGTGAGCAGGAAAAAACATTTCTATGGATAAGCTGAGTTCCTTAGATTTCAGCACACAGGGAAATAGATATTCCTGCTGGGTGTTCCAGACTCCCAAACACAAGTGCCTGGGAGTGCCATTATCCCCATTCCCATTCCCAGTGCCGTTATCCCATTCCCAGTGCCATGTCCCCATTCCCAGTGCCATTATCCCATTCCCAGTGCCGTTATCCCATTCCCAGTGCCGTTATCCCATTCCCAGTGCCATTATCCCATTCCCAGTGCCATGTTCCCATTCCCAGTGCCATGTCCCCATTCCCAGTGCCATTATCCCATTCCCAGTGCCGTTATCCCATTCCCAGTGCTCCGTGTGCTCTCCCCGCAGCCCGAGCGCCTGCAGGGCACGCACTACTCGGTGCAGTCGGACATCTGGAGCATGGGGCTGTCCCTAGTGGAGCTGTCGATCGGAAGGTACCCAATCCCCCCGCCAGACTCCAAGGAACTGGAAGCAATTTTTGGCCGTCCTGTGGTGGACGGGGCGGAGGGAGAGTCCCCCAGCATCTCGCCGCGGGCCAGGCCCCCAGGACGCCCCGTCAGTGGTAGGGGCTGTGGTGTGCATCGGCAGCAACGCTTCCATGGGGGACGAGCGGGGTTGGGGTGGGGGAGCCGCTCCGCACGAGCCTGTGCTGGGAATGTTTGCAGGGAAATCCGCCACAGGTTTGTGGAGTCCCGGTGGGAGCGCGGGGAGGGCGCCCTCAGCGTGGATTTGGGATCTGCTGGAGAGTCCAAGGGCTCCTTCGAGCCTCCCGTGTCCCGCCAAGGGGCACGACTGGAACGGGGCTCCCGTGGACAGGGCGGTTTGAGGGACACTGTCACAGCTCCTCTGGCTTTGCCAGCACCTTCCTGTCCGGCTCTTTTTGGGAAGAGCTTTGCTGGGAGCTCTCAAGGAAGCACCAACCAGCACCAGGATTCCAGGGAGCCTCTGCTGGAGCCGTTTCCTTGGGAGCAGAAGGCTCTGGAAGCGCTGCCAGCCAGCCAGAGTAGATGGTCTGGTGCTGTCCAAACATTCCAAGCTGGGAAATAAATCTGGACTGGAGGTCTGGCGAAGGAAATCCAATTTGGGAATGAACTCGATTTCTCTTGAACCGTGACTCAATTTCCCTGGGAGTTGCCTCAGCCTCTCCCAGCAGAACTGTCCCCAAAGTCGTGTTTTTCACCCCAAACTGAGCCCTGAGCAGCCTCTCAGCACCGTTTGTGTGGTTTGTGTCACCCCCCAGGCCACGGGATGGACACCAGGCCTGCCATGGCCATCTTTGAGCTGCTGGATTACATCGTTAACGAGGTGGGTGTTGGTTTTCCCAGGGCTCTGCCAGGATTCCCGGAGGTTCCGCAGGGATGTGCCTGCTCTGCCGAGTCAGGGTGGGATCGGGAATGTTTGCTCAGTCAGGGAATCCCAGGATGGTTTGGGCTGGAAGGATCTTAAAGCTCATCCAGTGCCACCCCTGCCATGGGCAGGGACCTGTCCCCGGGGCTCCAGCCTGGCCTTGGGCACTTCCAGGGATCCAGGGGCAGCCACAGCTGCTCTGGGAAATCCATTCCAGGGCCTCCCCAGCCTCACAGGGAGGAATTTCTTCCCAAAATCCCATCTAAACCTTCCCTCCTCCAGCTTAAGGCCATCCCCCTTGTCCTACCCAACTTGCAAGTGGAAAGGGCAGCTCCCCTTTCCAGGGTGATGGAAAATTCTCTTTTTGGGATTGTTTCACCAGCCACAGGCATGGCCAGAGCTGGGATTTCTGAGGCTGGGTTTAGGATTGGGATGCTTGGTGATTTCCCAGCTTTGCCTGGGGCTCAGTGTGGGGTCCCCCAGGTGCAGAGCGAGCTGGAGCAGCAGGGCAAGGAATGGCAGGGAAGGATTTTCCTGGCTGGAAAAGCAGCGAGGATGAGGAGGATGAGAGTGGCCGTAGAGCACAGCTCCCTCACGCTGGTTTTTGGCACAGTAACACAGCAGAGGTGCAGGAACCCCTTTTCCTCTCTCCACAGCCGCCTCCCAAGCTGCCAAGTGGAGTCTTCACGCAAGATTTCCAGGAGTTTGTAAATAAATGGTGAGGATTTCATCTCGGGGCTGAAGGTGGAGGCCTGGACGTGCTCCCTGACAGCTCTGCAGCTGCACCCTCTGTGTTCTGCCTGATCTCTCTCTCTCCCTGCCTGATCCCACCTGGTGCTGGGAGCTCCTGCCTCGGGAAGGCTTGGGATGAAAGCAGTTTATTTGTGGGGCTGCAGAGCAGGATCCCAGCTCCTCCTAAATCTGAGCCTGGCGAGGGGGGACGGTGGAGCAGATCCCGGGGCTGAGTCACCCCGTGGGCACGGGGACACCTGAAGGTGCTGCCAGAGCTCCCAGTAAAGCAGAGATTGGATATTACAGAAATGCCCAATTCCTGCCAAGCCTCGGTGCCTTTTCTCCATCTGCAGGGCACAGTTTGTCCCCGCAGTGTGCAGGAGATGGATCCTGCAGCTCTCCCTGGGAGCTGAGCTGGCAGCGCTGGGGCATCTCCCGGGATCCTGGGGGGCTTTGGGTGAAGCTGGAGCTTCTCCAGCCTGATCCCCACGTTCCCACAAGGAATCTCACGTCGGCTTCGCTCTCCTTCTCGTTTCAGCTTAATTAAAAACCCAGCAGAACGAGCAGATCTGAAGATGCTGATGGTGAGTGGGGAGGGGATTTTTCTCCTGCACTGGGGTGGCACCAGCTGCCACCCCATCCCTCCAAAGGCTGGGAATTCCCAGGGTGAGGCAGATGGGGGCAGGGGGGAGGGATGGACCCCTTGATCCAGTGATGGATCTCGGCTGGAGCCAGTCCAGGCTCTGCTGGGACAAGCCTGGCTCCTCAGCTGAGGGCTGGATCCGAGCTGTGCTCTCATCCCAGAGATCAGCTGAGCCCTGGGCAGCAGGGAAAGGAGGGGATCCTGCCCTGTTCAGGTGAGGCCCCACCTGCAGAGCTGCCTCCAGCTCTGCTCCAACATCAGGAGGAGCTGGAGCTGCTGGAGCCAGTCCAGAGGAGGCTCTGGAGCTGCTCCAGGGCTGGAGCCCCTCTGGAGCCAGGCTGGGAGAGCTGGGGGGGCTCAGCTGGAGAGGAGAAGGATCCAGGGAGAGCTAAGAGCCACTTCAGGGCCTGGGGGGGCTCCAGGAGAGCTGGAGAGGGACTGGGGATGGAGGGGCAGGGAATGGCTCCAGTGCCACAGGGCAGGGATGGATGGGATAGTAGGAAGGAATTCCTGCAATGGTGGGAGGGCTGCAAGGAGCAAATGTTTTCCCCAAATCCTCTCTCCCTGCGCCAGGATCTTCCCTCCTCTCCAGGGCATATCCCAGAGCGCAGGGCTGGCTTTTTGGGACGTGGGATGCTCCTGGGGGCTGCTGCTGACCGTGTTTTCCCTGTGCTTGCAGAGCCACACGTTCATCAAGCGCTCCGAGGTGGAGGAGGTGGATTTTGCGGGCTGGCTGTGCCGGACGCTGCGGCTGAACCAGCCCAGCACTCCCACCCGAGCTGCCATGTGAGCCCGGCTGGCACTGCTGCCTCTGCCACCGCTCCCCGTCCTCCCTCCTCCCAGAACTGCCCCTCCCTCCTCCTCCTCCCAGCCCCAGCGCCAAAGCTCCGGCCCCAAAGCGCCGGGCCCTGGCAGCGTCTCCATCCTCGGGAATGCCCGGCGGGGTCGGTCCCTTCGGATATGGGGATGTTCCAGGCCTCTGCTCCAGCTCTGGAGCTCCTGACATTTGGGAACTGTGGTGCTGCTTATGTTGATTTTTCTTTATTTTGGGTTTCGTTGGGGTTTTTTTCGGTTTGTTGTTTGTTTTTCGGGTTTTTTTGGGATGCGTTCACTCGGGTTAAACAAGAAGGTAACGGGGGGGTGCGAGGTGTGGGGGATGAGGGATGGGCAGCTGATGCTTCACCTGCTGCCGGGTTTTCCCTCTGGGATGGAGAATCAGTGGGATCAGGAGTGGAGAAGCCCTGCCCGGGGACACGGCCGGGGCAGAGCAGCTTTGCCTGGGCTGCTTTTTAAACGAATCTTTTAAAGCCTGGCCTTGTCCCACGCTGGATGTTCAGGGACGGGATTGGGATGGGGATGGGGATGGGATGGGATGGGATGGGATGGGATGGGATGGGATGGGATGGGATGGGATGGGATGGGGTGGGGATGGCTCCTGCTTTTCCGTGTCCAGGTGACGGGAGAGTGGATTTTCCTTCCCTGGAGAGGCTGGGGCAGAGCCCGGCAGTTCCCGGCGGGATCGGGATCCCTCTCCTGATCCATCGGGGGCGCAGGGAACCCTCCAGGCTGCCGATTTCCCCCTCTGGCTGCCTCCAGCCCATCCCAGGGGTGGCCTCAGCCATTGTGGACGTGGCAGAGCTCCAGGATTCCCTGCTGGAGCCCCCCTGAGCCGCCTCATGCCGAGCCCACGCTGTCCCTGGATTGTCCCATCCTGGACCCTGCAGCCCCCCAGGCCGCGACCCCCTCCCTTCCCACCACGGGGATTTTGGGGTGAATCATTCCCCTCCTACCCCTGCCTGGGCTTGGCAGCCCCTGAGCCCCCCTGAGCGAGGATTTGGGAAGTTTGGTGGGAATTTTTTGGTGTTTTCCTTTTTTTTTGGCTGTTTTTCCCCCAGTCAGGCTGGCAGCTGCCATCCCCCTGCCTGCCCTGGCTCCCACCATGGCAACCCCCAGAATTAACTGCCAGGGCTGGCTAACCCCAAATCCCTCATCCCTTTTCCTTTCCTGTTTTCCAGCACAGGACAAAGGCACTGCCCTGCCTGGGGCCAAGCCACAGGGCAAACACGTCCCCAAAGGGGGGGACACCCCAGTTTTTTGGGGGGGAACACCCCCATTTTGGGGGGAACACCCCAGATTTGAGGGGTCTGTGCTTGCTGGCTCAGCTCACGCCCGGCCAAGCCACCCTGGAGCCGTGGGGTGCTCATTGGGATGGATTTTGCTTCTTATTTTATGTGGGAAGCAGGGAAGGTTCCTCAAGTTTCGGGCTATTTTCCATAGATTTTGGTGCTGGGTTTTGGAGGAGGAAGAGGAGGAAAAGGAGAGGAGGAGGAGGAGGAGGAGGAGGAGGAGAGCGTGGATGGAGCAGTTTGGTGGTGCAATTAATTTTTTTATTTTAAACTCGATATTTTCATCATGGGTGGGGGTGGGGGGGAAAAAAAAAAATGATAAATAAACGGCACTTTACATTTCCAGGCAGTTTCTCTCCTCGGTTGTGCCCCTTCAATCCCTTTGGAGCCGGAATTCCGGCCGGGAGCGCTGCCTCCGGGAGCTCTGGGATGTGCCTGTGGCTCTCCCAGGGATGTGCTGGCCACGCTGTCCAGCAGCTGCCTCCAGTGGAAGCGGGAGACACCGGAATTATCCCGGCACGAGGCAGCCCCGGAACGGGATGGATGTGGAATCCAAGGACCTAAATCCAGTCGGAAAATATTTTGGGGGGTGAAAAATATTTAGGGGTGTTCAATATTTGGGGTGAGCAGGAGCCGGGCGAAGCTGGAAAAATCCAAATCTGGCTCAAAATGGGGAAATATTTTGCAGTTTTTGTGCTGTGAACGATGCAGGGGCTCGGGGGGTGACGCCAGCACGGTGCCATCCCGAATTCCAGGCTCCTGCAGTGGCACTTTTGGAGGTTCTGTGGTGCCATCCCGAATTCCAGGCTCCTTCTGGGACATTTTGGGGGGTTCCCATTCCGTGGTCCCTGGCTCCAGGCTCCCGTGGTGCCGCTTTGGGGGGTCCCGGTTCGTTTTTTCCTGGTGTTTTGGGGTGCCCTGCAGAGCCCGGGATGGGCTCCCTGCTCCCCTGGGAGCTGTGCCAGCTTCTGGTGCTGCCAGCTGGGAATTGGGGGGGGTCCCGGGGGGTCCCCAGGGTGGGGGTGACCACGGCCCTTGTGCCACAGCAGGATTTTGGGGGTGCAGGGAGGAACGGGGGGTGCCCAGCCAGGCTGGAGAAGGGGATCCCCCAACCCCTGGTCACTTTGTAGGGCACAGCGGGGGGGGGGTTGGGGTCCTCCCCCCCCCAGCCTCACCGGGGGGTTTCTCCAGCTGATTTTGGGGGGGGTCTCAGTGTTGGGGGGGGACTCTGGGGGTGAATATATTGGGGGGCGCGCCCCGGGCCCGCCGGGGGAAAGCGAAAGCAGTCAGGAGCTGGGGCTGCTGGGGCACGGCAGGGACGGGCCCGGGGTGCAGCCCCCCCGCCCTAAACCCCACCCCAAAACCTCCTGAACCTCCCCCCCGCCTCTGTTTGGGGGCTCAGGGACCCCCCCAATCCCCCGTGCCTCAGTTTCCCCACCTGCTCAGTGGGGTTAATGACCCAAAACCCCCCTAAAACCTCCCTAAACCCCCCCGGGGGGCAGGGGGAGGGTGAGGGGTGGGCGAGGAGCTGAGCCGAGGTTATTTAAGGGAAAAAAAAGAGTTGGGAAAGGAGAAATCCCAGGGAGCCGAGCGTGGAACGAGACCCCCCGAGCCCGGGGCGGGGGGGGGGGGGGGGTGTTGATCAAAGCTTTGCTTTTCTCGCTTTCTCTTCCTTTAATTAATTCAAAACCCCCAACGATCATTAATTCAAAATCCACCCGAAAATCTCGCCGGGCCGCCCCCCGGCAGGCGCTTTTCCCCGCGGATCCGGCTGGAAGGGAGCTGTTCCCAGGGGAGCGGGGTGCTGGGGGGGTGGCACAGCCCCCCCCGGGGTGGGGACAGCCGCCCTGCTGTCCCCGTGTCCCCCTCGGCAGGCCCGGAGCCCGGGCTTGTCCTGTGCTCGCCAGGCTGGCTGCCAGCCCACCGTGACCTTGGGCTCCGTGTCCCCTTCCCAGCGTCGGGGGGCAGGGACTGGGGGGGATCCCGAGGGACACGGGGAGGGGGAGGCACGCAAGGGCCGGGGGGACATTGGGGACACGGAGGGTGACACGTGGTGCTTCGGGGAGGTGACTTGGGAGGGGGAGGAGGCGGCTCGTGGGGTGACAGGAGTGGGTCTGGGGGCGTGGGGAGGTGCCCGGGGGGTGGCACCGAGGTGGGGTGACCCGGAGGGGCTCGGGGAGGCGGCCGTGGGGGGAGCCGAGGGGGTTTGGGGGGACAGGGAGGTGTCCTGTGGGGACACACGTGGGTCTGGGGGCACGGGAAGGGGGTGACACGTGGGGAGGTGACCCAGAGGAGCCCCGAGGGGTGACCCGTGGGGTGACGCGGGTGGGTTTGGGGAGCGCTGAGGTGGGTAAGGTGACCCAGAGGGGCTCAGAGAGGCGCCCGGTGGGGACACGAGTGGGTTTGGGGGTAGCAGGGTGAGCCGTGGGGTGAGCCGGGGGTTGGGTGACACAGAAGGGACCCGGGGGCTGCCCCGTGGGGACGCGAGTGGGTCTGGGGTCGTGCGAGGTGCGGCGGGGGCCGCCCCGTGATGTGACACGCGTGGGGCTGGGGTCCGTGTGACACTCCCGGGGGGGCGGGAGGTGACACCGAGTGACACCCCTGGGGGGCCGGGGTCCGTGCTGGGGGGGGGGGGGGGGGGGACCAC